AAAAACCGCCTTTAATAGGCATCTTCTTATTAAACTGCCACACGTCTTATTAATTTTTAAGTAACATTTTCGGCACAACATAACAGAAGTATGAACCACCAACAGGTGCAGGTAGTTTTTTTCTTTTCGATCCATTCATCACGTTCTGCGTTGTAAACTGACACGGAATTTGTGGTGTTACCTCCAATGGCCCACAGTTGATCATCCATAGAAACACAAGCCATGGCGTTACAACTAACGCTCAAAGAGCAGATCTACGATTAGTAATGAAAAATTGTGTTATGACTTTCGAAATATCCGAAACTGTACTTTAACCAACCTTAGTCCATTTGTTACTTTGTGGGTCGTACCGTTCAACTATTTCAGACCCACCACCTAAAACATATATGCATCCATTGTGTACGGCTACCTAAAATATGGAGGGACATACATACAATATATACAAATATATATATACATTGCTAATCTTCATAACTATATACATAAGTTCATCTGCATATATTAGGTTTGGTTTTTGTAGCTCACTTACTGCAGGACAACGACGAACTGCATTCATATCCGCACACTTGGTCCAAGAATTCAAAGATGGGTCGTAACGTTCAACAGATTTTAAGGAAGACCTTCCATCCCAGCCTCCCATAATGAAAATTTTGCCGTCATGAACCACTGCGCCAGCACTATAACGCTGTGATGACATGTTGCTTACACATCTCCATCCGCTAACAGGCGAATACCTAAAATGGTTTAATATGTAAAGGTTTAGAGCTAAGGACTAGGACCCCCAATATCTCTTTGAGGAATTTGTATGATGTTACAACAAAAACTAAAACTATTAATAAATGTATAATGTATAACAGCGTGACAGCCGCATAAAAGGCCAAAGGATTTGAAGAACGTTGAAGAGATTTCGCCGTCTTAAACAGGGTTAGATCGCCGAAACACAATATATGTATATATATATATATATATGGGTAAAACCATGATAAAGACATAGCAAGGTAGAACCGTACTCTCATTTTGTCGGCCATGATTTTTTTTTTTGAAGTTTGTCAGCATTAGTTGCGATCCCGTACGAGTCCGGACTAGTCAGAAATAGTCAGAATCAGTCAGATTTTACTGGAAATCGATCCCGTACTCGGTTCTCTGACTATTGAGAGGACAAAAAAGAGAGTTAATACGGTTCTCTCTCTGTCAGAAGTTGCCAGTTTTAGTCCGAGAATTTTTTGCTGGTAAATTCTGGTAAATGTGTCAAACGATCAGCTGTAGTGTGTTTGGCAACCAAATTGTAAACAAAAGAAAAGTGCACTCTGCTAATTCATGTTGAAAAGTATTTAATTACTTGTTTAAGTGGATTCTAATGAATTTGAGAGTATTTTTGGTTATTTACACGTGTGAGCTGAGTGTATTTACATACAAAATAAGCAAAAATTTACAACCAAAATTTGGAGGTTATGTTGAAGTTGACAGAAGTTACCATTTTTTACTAGAAAGCGATCCCGTACTTTTCAGTGTTACTCTCTCGCTCTGAGCGAATTTTTATTTTTTGACAGTTTTACTAGTCCGAGTCCGAGGAATACGGGATTGCACCTATTTTAAAATCATATAAAATTGAAAATAAAAAATTGAAATTGTTCGAAATTGTTGTTGCTTGAGATTGAAAATGTGTGTGTGAGTTTGTGAGTAAATTTAAAAAATTTAAAATGTTTGGAAACGTCAAGAATTTTAAAAGTAACTCTCAGCGGTTCTACCTTACTATATTTTTATCATGGGTAAAACCGCCCGCTCAATTCGTCTGCCATTGGGTTTTTTTGACGTTTGCTAGCATTTTGAGTTTACTCTCTCGAAATAATTCAAATCATGATAAAAATATTTATAAGGGCTGAGAGCCAGCTTTGGGAGTTTTGACGTTTGCTAGCATTTTTGAAAATTTCTCTCGATGTCATTTCATTTTTTGTGGCAAAAAATTAGCCTAGCGCTCATAGGCACTTGGGAAAATCCGCTGCCTTAACACCACCAACCGCGTGGTGGTGCGCATTCCCACGACAGCCGGTTCTACGTACCGGAATGACTCGGGTTTCACCCGACCAAGGGCTGTTGTTTCGGCGATCTAACCCCGTTTAGGTCGGCGAAGTATCTCAGAAGTTGTCCGTCCATAGGGCAACATTCACTACGCATTCTCCTACTCAGGGCTGGCATCGAGTCAAACCCTGGGCCAGAAATATACACCTGCTGTGTATGCCGAAGACGTCTACACCACAACTCCACCTCAGTCAAGTGTAATGCCTGCGAGGGGTGGAGTCACCTCAGGGTCTGCTCGGGACTACGGACACACAGACAGTGGACCACGTCGTACGTGGCCCCCTGTTGCTCAAATAGAGCAGCCTCCACGGCAACCCATAGTCCGCCCGTGCAGCCCCACACACTCACACAGCAACCACACACAGTCGCCACAACACAACAACATACCACAGCCACCACAGACCACATAACACACACAACCGCACCACCACCCACACGCCGCCGCCAACAACTCTTGGTTCCCCCTACAATCTGCACGGTATGTCAGACCAGAATATTCCGTAATGTGACATCAGTCAAGTGCAACACCTGCCTTGGCTGGTGCCACTTTAGGGCATGTTCAGGTCTGCGCACCACGCGAGATTGGACGGGGAACTTCGAGGGCCCGTGTTGCGCTGCTCGGTCGCTGGCATCAATTGCGACGCCCCCCCACTACCACCACAGGGAGGCAATCACCCCAGCAGCACACACAGCCAGCCAACGGCGGCAAGAACATACACCTCACTCACACCCCACATCACAACACGTCTCCCGAACCACATGAAGCTCCTCCAATTCAACTGTAACGGGCTACAGAGCAAGATTGAGGAGATAACCGCCTTTATGTGTCGGCATGGTATATTAATAGCTGCGGTCCAAGAGACGAAGTTGCACAGCAATTCAACTTTGTTGAATTGTGCCGGGTACAACGTGCACCGTCGAGATCGCGAGCGAGATAATGGTGGTGGCTTAGCGTTCATCACGCACTGCACCGTGCAGTATCGTCTTATCGAAGCAGACATCGACCGCAGGGATACCACCCTAGAATGTCAGGGCATCGCTATCCGGTCAGGCGATGTCGAGCTCGAAATATTTAATATATACATACCCCCTGTCACCTGCTGCCCGGCAGGATATCACCCTGATATAGGTGCGCTCCTCAGAGGTGAAAACCGTATGGTAGTAGGTGACTTTAATGCGCACCACGATCTTTGGCACTCAAGCCTGTCAAACGATCGTAGGGGAACAGACTTGGCTGAGCAGATAGACGATTCGACATTCTGCACAATGAACGACGACGCACCCACCAGGATTATGGGTAACTGCAGTAGCTCGCCAGACATCACAATAGTCAGCGCTGGTCTGATAAACAGCATAACGTGGCGACCTATGCTGACTCTAGCATCAGACCATCTACCCATAGTCATCTCGATTGATAAACCAACCGACTTTGCCTCCGCCAAACACCGGACCTATGTCAACTTTTCTAAAGCTGACTGGAAAGGTTACGCGGAGTTTACTGAAAACACCTTCACATCGCTCCCCACACCAACCGACGTCCATCTCGGTGAACGTAAGTTCCGCAGGGCTATCACTGCTGCTGCAGCCCGCTTCATACCGGCAGGGTGCATATCGGACCCACGTCCAAACTTCCCTGCCGAAGCGGCTGTTTTAGCAAATGAGCGTGATAGCCTTCGTCAGGCCGATCCCGGAGATCCCCGTATCAGGGATCTCAACGCGAAGATTCGGCAACTTGTAAACGTACATAAGCGGAAGAAGTGGGAGGAGCATCTGAAGACTTGCAACTTCACCTCTGGTGTGAGCAAGCTTTGGTCAACCGTGAGGTCATTGTCTAATCCGACGAAGCACGACGACAGAGTCGAAATTTCCTTCGGCGACCATGCTTCGTCGGACCCGGAGCGATGCGCGAGCTATTTTAGCCGGCAGTTCATACTGCATCCTCCGGTGGACAAAGCCAAGCGTCGAGTGACCAGAAGGCTGCACAAACTGCCAACAAATTGTGCCCCCCTTGCTTTCACTTGCGGTGAAGTTCAGGTGGCCATCGGGAAGGCGAAAGCCTCCAAAGCCATGGGTCCCGACGGTATATGCATGCCGATGCTGAAAAATTTGGGTCCTGCGGGGGTAGCGTACCTAACGGAGGTCCTCAATTTGTCAATGGCCACTCTCATCATCCCAGACATCTGGAAGGTGGGGAGAGTGGTCCCACTGCTCAAACCGGGGAAACCTGCAAACAAAGGAGATTCGTATCGTCCGATTACACTCCTTTCCCCGGTAGCGAAGACACTCGAGGCCTTGCTACTCCCGTACTTCACAAATCACCTGACCCCAGCGAAGCATCAGCATGGTTTCCGTAAAGTGCACAGCACAACAACAGCACTTAACGCCATAAACACTCAGATAACTCGTGGCCTTAACCGTAACCGTCCCTGTGAGAGAACGATTCTAGTAGCGTTGGACTTGTCAAAGGCGTTTGACACCGTCTGCCTGTCCACGCTACTAGAAGATATAGAGGCCTCCTCTCTCCCACAGAGGCTCAAACGGTGGTCGGCAAATTATCTAAGTGGTCGACATTCGTCGGTAATGTTCAGAGACAAAACGAGTAAGCAGCGAAAAATAAAACAGGGGGTTCCTAGGGTGGTGTCCTTTCCCCGCTACTGTTTAACTTTTATATTTCAAAGCTCCCTCAACCACCAGAGGGAGTCTCGATTGTCTCCTATGCCGACGATTGCTCGATTATGGCGACTGGGAATGGAATTGATGACCTGTGTTCGAAAGTAAACGGCTATCTCTCCGAACTTTCTCGCTTCTTCACTGCAAAGTGTCTAGCCCTCTCCCCTACGAAATCCTCCGCGACCCTGTTCACAACCTGGACGAAGGAGGTCAGGCTACCGCTGGGGATTCACGTCGATGACACACCAATTCCGACGGTGAATAACCCCAAAATACTCGGAGTAACTTTCGACAGCCTGCTCTCCTTCTCTGCGCACTCAACCGCTATTGTCAATAAAGTACAGAGCCGCAACAAAGTCCTCAAGTCGCTAGCCGGCAGTACTTGGGGCAAAGACAAAGAAACGTTGCTGGCAACATACAAGGCAATAGGCCGGCCGGTTTTGAACTACGCAGCGCCAGTGTGGTCGCCTGGGACTAGTAGGACGCAGTGGACGAAGCTACAGACCGCACAAAACACCGCACTGAGGACAGCGACGGGATGCCTCTTGATGACGCCTGAACACCACCTGCACGGCGAGGCGCAAATGCTCCCGGTAAAGGAGCACAATATAATGCTCTGCAAGCAGTTCCTGATCGGGACCCACAGAAGTGGCCACCCGTGCAGACAGCTGCTTGCGGAGGAGCCCTCGCCTAGGCACGTCAGGAGGCATCTATATGAACTAACGGACGAAGTCCAGAGGTTCATTAAGCAACCTCTGGACCCGACAGCCTACAGACAGGCCTTGAACGGCATTCACAGGGACTCAGTCTCGAGTTATATAGACTCTAGACCTGTGAATGCCGTTCTGGGCACACCACCCCCGGACATTGACGAGACGGAGCTTCATCTGCCTCGGGAGACGCGCACCACACTTGCACAACTTCGCTCCGGCTACTGCAGCAGGTTAAACTCCTACCTGAGTAGGCTGAATGAGGATGTGCCTAACGAATGTCCGGCATGCGGAGAGACCCCACATGACTCGAAACATCTCTTCGCATGCCCGGCAAACCCGACATCCCTAACGACCTTGTCCTTATGGGCAAACCCCGCAGAAGCTGCACGCTTCCTAGGGTTACCGTTAGTGGAACTTGACGACAACGACTGAGATACCAACCGATCTGGGCGGGGTTGTTGTAGCCGCTACAACAACAACAACAACATCAAGTTTTGCGTACACACGGTAATTGCGCAAACTTAAATAACTTTATACTGCTTTGCTTGCAGATAAAAACGGTATTAGCGCAGCCGCTAAAGCAGCATCTCATTTTCCTTCTATAAAACCAAGGCATAACAAGGTAGAAGTGATTTCGACATTTCTCTCTTTTGAACTGCGACTGTTGTAATGTCAACTCTTAACCCTATAGAATTCAAAATTTTAATTTTTTTATTTCAATTTTCAATTTTGAGCTGTGCGACTGATTTTAAATACATACATACAAAAATAAAATGAAAAGGAATTACGAGCGGTGCGCTCTGTGTGGCAAGAGCCAGGACAACAGACTTGTGCGTTATTTTAAACCTCCTAATTGTCAAGTGAAGCGACAACGGTGGCCAAGTAGCTCCGGTGCTCCATTAGTAGACTCTTCGCGTGTGTGCGAACACCATTTTAGTGGCAGTGACTTTATTTGTTGCCCATCACAGCCGAGTATTTCCAAGCGGACGCGTTTGTTCCCAGGTGCAGTACCTCTACCATACAATTCCTCAATGCTTGAGTTATCAGAAGTGTCGGCCATTCCTGAGGTGTCTGTGGGGAATAAGTTAGCTGTTGATGCACAGACCCAAACTGAGTAAGTCTGCCATAAACAAGCACGACCGGATCCACGAGTACATTAACATATACATATAAGCAAATGCTCCGCGAACACCATGATACAATTTCGTTCCACTAAATTTACCGCTTTAGATCACCATTTACTGTTATAAATTCGACGTTCTGGTTCTTAACATCCCTTTTCCTTTTTTCATAATGCCATGTGAAAAGAGTCGTGTTTTTATTTTTCATACATAGCTGGATTTATCATACGGAAATTAAGCATTACTGAATATGAAGAGAAAATCTCCCACTGGATAGACCAAATTTCAAATGCTGGTATGATAAAACCTAAACCAGAATTCCTTGTGCACATAAAGAAACTGGAAGTAATTTTTAATAAATTTAATGGAAAAGAAATTTCGCATTGCAAAAATTTAATAGCTGAATTATTGAAGTTAAGTTCCGATGTAAATTTAGAAGAAAGAATCAAAAATTGTTTTTTTTTAACTGTCGAATATACTCTAGAATTAAGTATTTGAATAAAAAAATAAATGCTAAAAAACATGGGCTAATAAAAAAATTAAAATTGCCAAAACGGTTTTATTAATAATTGTGTTTCATTTAGTGTGTAATTTTGAGTAAGTATGCATTTCCACATTTACATTAAACGAAAATACAAAAACTAAAATGAAGCCGATTTTAATGTGATTTTAAATATTTTCATATTTACAAAAACTTTCATTTCATAGATATTGAATTTTATCAAATATGGTACATGCATAACAAAGGGTTAATTTCTTTGTTTACGTTTTTTGACATTACAGTCAGGTATGAGAGAGCTCGACTGAATTGTCACTTCTACCTTGTTGAATATGCCTTGTTTTACCTTTAAATATTTGTATCATGATAGCAGCTATTTCGGAGATCACCACATCTCCTCATCAAACTTCTTTCTTTCTTTCTGTTAATGTTAATAAGCCACAAAAACATTGACAAATACATAGTTTAGGAAGAGCCTGCCTGAAGCTATACAAAAAAAGCAAATAAGCAAATGGATGTTTCGAATTGATAACAACAACCACGCTGTCGAGTTTAAATAGCGGCAAATCAGCTGCACTTGATAGTAGTTGGTTGAATAAGGAAAATGAATTAGCAACAAGAGTTTACGGGATGTACATACATAGCTCAGTGGTTAACGCTTTAACTTTGAACATCGATTACGCAGGTTCGATCCCTGCTGAAATCTAGATAAAATTATAGTTTAAAAACTAAATCCTTCCTATTATAATTGCCATTCGTACTGTCATCAGGTATGTAACTTGAGAATAGAAATCGCTGCATCTCTTAGGCGCATCAATATTACATAGTTACATCCCGAGCTAATAAAAGGAAGGTAATAAAAAAAGAATTCTGATGGGGAGATGTGGCGATAACAACAACTCTTGTAAAACTTCGAATTTTACAAAATTGTTCAAATTTAATTTTTTACGGGATTTACGTTGACCCGACTGTCGTGAGAACATTTGTCGTACAATGCTTCGTACTTGCAAACATACTTACCTTTCCACTGATGCATCATATTGTCCGCCAATGGCGTAGATACTTTTATTTAATGATAAAACGACTGGAAAACTCCTTGCCCGACCCATTGGGGGCAACGTTATCCACGTTTTCGTCGTAAAACTCCAGCTTTTAACAGTTCTGACTTCTTCGCCATCGCATTTACCACCAATAAACATTAGACTATTGTCAAAGAGTTCCAGACCGTAGTTCTTCCAATCAGAGGTTTCTATGTCGGCGTATATGTGCCATTCATCTTCAGCTTTGTCATATTGAAAAATGTTTGTGACCGCACCTGTATAAGGACCGCTGCAAGACAAATTTTCCTGCGAAAACATGAAGAGAAATCATTTTTTCACTACTTCACATAAAATTACGACTCTGTTTTCAAATTAAAATATAGTTACATATGTATGTATTTGGTAGTATTTTACAGGGAAACTTTTTTTCACTAATACCACGTTCAAATTTACGAGTTAAACATGTTAAATGGGCTTGAAATGGACAAAACGTGTTCATAAACCTAGCAAACATTTGGAGCCTTAAATGAGTCTTTAAGGAGTCCTATTTCGAGCGTTTACGCTCATAATGAGCTCATTTAAGAGTCCGAAATGAGGTGTTTTCCTTCCTCCGAAGGTCGACTTACATGAGCTTTAATTCATTTCGGACTCTTATTTTAGGTTGTTCTTTGAGTCTTATTGGCTTTATTATTTGATTCTTATTGAGCCCACTTTAGAGCCATATTTGCAAAGTCGTTCGGCAAAAATTTCTTTTAAATACCATATATAGTACATATGAATGTGCATATATACATTCCAACATACTTTTAATAGTAGCAGCTGCAGCTAATTTTTGTTTATTTTTTGCTTCCTTATTATTTTCGATATCAAGTTTAGATATAAATTTCGAATCCTTATTGTTTTTATATTGGCACAAAGTGATGGCTCATAAATTGGATCCAATACATGATTCAATAATATATATGTATTATTGAATCATGGATCATATACATATGAATCCTAAAAGATTCATATAAGTCACACATTTTTTATTTATTTTTTATTTTTACTCATATTTCTTACCCAACCATGGTGAAATAAAAATAAGGTGATGTCAGCTAGGGGGTGTTTGTTATAAAGCTGAAATTAGTCAAGAACGTAAACCTACCGGTACGTAAACCCGAGTCAGCTGACACCATCTGCCTTACCAAAGCGCCATGTAAATGAAAACTCAACACCGCAGAATTTTTCTGTAGTTGTAGCCCGTAGCGCAGAAATCTGCGCAATTTAGATTTTTCCGTGTCAGCTGATTTCTCCTTCTTTAGATGGTTGCCACTTCGTCAGTTTTGCAGATGGTAAAAAAGTTATAAGTTCCTATTCAAAATATGTTTAAAATATGTGAAATTTACTATTGAATACGGTTTTTGTTGAAAACTAAGTAGTTTATATTTAGCTACAATCTATTATAGCACGAAAAATTGTGGTTGAAAGGGTAAGTTTATGAAAAGGTATTGAAGAGTGGCAACAGTGTAGTAAGCAACACTGAGGGCTCCAGTAATCGACAAAATTCTGCGTATACAGACTGCGTTTAAGTATACGTTCTGCGTTCTCGACTAATTTCAGCTTAACTTTGACAAATTCGGTAGCCCCGTTCTGAATGATGCCCTCTTGAACAAAAACTACACTAGAAAAACTCCTTTTAGGTATTGCGCTGAAAACGTAAGAGTGAACATCACTGTCCTTGACATTTCTGTTTAGTTGTGACTTTTCCATTTAATATTTTTTGCAAAAATTGTGATTTGTGTGTATATTCAACAGCTTTTAATTTTGCGATTTTTTGGAGGTTTTCCGGACTTTGGCTACAATTTTAGGTAACCAATTTTAAGTACTTATGCCAAGTGGCAAATAAAGACTTATTATGTTTACCTTCCACAGATTTGTGAATTGTGTTTTTTATCTCAGCGAGAAGCTGCGATATAAGTGCGATTTTTGGCTGCAAGTTCCAGGTGAGTTTATTCAATTGGCCAGGTTGTTAATAAAATGATGGTCAGTAAAAGTGCGTTTCTTGTTTAATGGGTTTTGGAAGTTGTGCCTGTTCACCTACTAGAGGCTGCAATACAAGTGCTATACAAATAAAATTACGAAAATCCTTTTATAATTCATAAATAATCGGCCTTTTAAAAAGAAGAAAAAACTTACTAAGGGTAGTTGTGTTTGTTTAAAAAATTATTCAGTAACTCGCCCGCAACTCCCCAGTAACTTAATTTCTGCGAATTCGCTCTCAAAGAAAAAATATCCAAAAAAGTACGTGAACGCAAATCCAGTAATAATTATCAAGTTTCATGAACAGCTGATAAATTGGTTCTTTATTCGCAGCAAATTCCTAATAAAGCTATATATTTTATATTTAAATTGGTTTATTTGGTCAATTTCAATAATAAAAACCCAAAAACAATTTCCTTATTAGTTTAAATTGCATCCAGCAAGTTACAAGTAAAAATTTATCCATTAAAAATGCAGTAAAAACTTTGAACTTCAGCTGTTTCGCTCTCTCAATAAGTTTTTGCGTACGAAATTGCCAAAACATGAAAATTCGTACCAATTTTTCTGGATTTTACTGGAAATGGGTATACCTAACACAACTATTGTTTATTATCTTTAACGTTGTTTTGATAAAATAATTCTTTAATACATACGTTTTAAAAATAGTATTCAAAAGGGCGTTAAAATGGTCCTCTAATGGTTCCCCTATTTTTACTACATTTATATGCATTGCCGAAATGGGGCTACCAAAAAAGTGAGGTTATGTAACTGACATCACCTTGTTTATTCCACCATGTACCCACCTAGGACTCCTTTCGGACTTATATATTCTGAGCGCTCAGAATATGTTTGCGGGGAACAAGCATGATTCAATAATAAAAAGTTAGATAATTATTGACAGCCGCGGTTTGACAACCGTTGCATTTACGAAGGACGGATAATGGGGAAGAATGAATTCTCTGGTGCGAAAATGGTAGTAGAAAAGCGCGAAATAGGCAATTAGTAGGGAAATTCCTTTTGTAAATTCTAATGTATTTGCAGGAAATTTGGCATTTTAAACGAAATATTAAGACGCCTACGTGAATTATGTAATTTATGTTGTTGTTGTAGCAGCATATAAGTTCCCCAAAGAGTTTTTGGGGAGTGTTGCTGGGGTGACAGTCCCTGGCCAAATATAAATCTGGGTCGTTCCGGTTACGTAGACCCGACTGTAGTTAAATCGCATGCAATTGTTGTTGAGAAATTTAACCAGTTAAATCATTCAACTCGTTTGAAACCCAGTTCAACGCAGAGTTGTATCAGAAAGCTTTCTGCTTCAGCCAATCAGAAAGAGCCAAAAGCTTTCATTCGACACGCCAACGCACAGAACCATGATACAAAAAATAAGGTCGTTTGAATAAACAACTTTTTGATTAAGAAGCAGATTTTTGACAATTGCTCAATTGTGAAATTTAGGAAACGGCGTTACTCAATTTAAGTTTTTTGGTAGAGGTGATTTTTTATCAAAAATTTGGCATAATATATAAAACAGTTGTATTAACAGTTACCTTTTAAAAATAATTAATACCTTTAAATGTTTATTTTTAGGTTAATAAAAGTTTAATTAACACATTTTTAAAAAATTTAGTGTCTTTATGTCATCCGATTATTTCACAATGTAACTCAAAACTATTGCAGTTTTCTATATCGGATGCGATTGTTTCTGGTATTAGCCGTTATTTTACGTTGCAAATTTTTAAAACTTTAAGACATTACGACGCTTAACACGTCTTGTGAATCCCCTATTGAACTTTAAACTGCATCTCTTTCAATTAACTTGAAAGTGGAATTTACTTTGGGACCCATGGGACTCATGATTTTCAGAGAAGTGAGTATTATCCATTTCTGGTATGTTTTTACAATCTCGTTGTTTCTTTAGGTAAAATTAAAATATATTGGAGTGATTACAATTAGGGTATAGCACAAAAGATCTTCTTAGGTCAAACAAATTTTTGGTAAGTTGGTTGGCAGGACATTTTGGTAGCAAAAAAAAAAATTTGACCGTGGCAACACTGACAATCGGCTTCGTACCAGCGTTGCCGTGCGTTTGAAAAATGGATCAAGCAAACACAACTGTTGTTTTTTAAACTTTTATTTGCAAACAAATAATTAATTAAATTTTATAATTAAATCCGTAATTAAAAAAAAAAATATTATATTACTTGCTTTAACAAAAACAGAAAATTTGTATGCTTATTTTCATGACAAAAAACAAACTTATAGGGCCCCTAAACCACACAAAATCATTGCGCATCCCGAGACTTGTACAGGGTGGGCCATATAAGACCTACCAATTTCACGCAGCAGGTCCATAGTTTGCCTAGCAGTGTGCACAGTCGCTCCATCCTGTTGTTGCTCTGCCGTTGGACGCAAAAAGTTGTCAATCTTTGTTCTGTAAGAAGCCCCAGAAATCGTTTCTGGCGCTTCATCCTCATTCTCGCAGAAATATGGGCCGATAACTTTTTCGGCCATAGCACCGCACCAAACAGTGCATCTGGGTGGGTGTAACTGGCGTTGGTGTGTTGCACTTGGATTTTCAGAGCCCCACAATCTACAGTTTTGCTGGTTGGCATAACCATTTAAAAGGAAATGCGCTTCAACCGACATCAAAACATTACCTAAAAAATCAATTTGTGGCTTATTGTGTGAAACGAATAGGGTATTGTAGTCGTTGTTGGTGGTATTGCTGTAAGTATCCATTATGATTTTCCAAGAGATTTACTATAACATGCAGAAAGAAAACAACAATAATATTAAAAAATAAAGAAGTTATACGTGTTTAACATTGGTAGGTCTTATTTTGCCCACTCTTTACAAGGCAATATTGTGGAAATTACTAGACAATAAAATTGCGCAAACCTTATTTTGGGGAAACGTTGCTCAGGTAAACAAAACAATTAACAAAAAGATTCAGACATATCTCTTCAACTCCTATCCCTCTTATCTATGCTTTAGCAAACGAACTGCCACCGGCTGATAGAGCCAAATGGCTCACAGCAAAAGAATTGGTTAATAATTTGCTATCGGACGAATCCTTTAAGGCAACATTTTACAATTCTCCAAATGTCAACTCTAGCTATAGCGTAATTTTTAATGAATTTAAAGATATTTTTGACGACCTGACCATAGTACAGGAATCCATTTCCTCGCCTAATCTACATGTGATAACTAACACTCTTAATAAGAAAAAAGACCACTTATCCTCCGACGCTATAAAGTCCACATATACTGCTTTATTAAATGATTATAAAAGATCTGATTTTCGCGTTATGTTTACAGATGCTTCTGTTGATGATTTTGCCACAGAATGCGGTATTTACAATTACTCTAACAAAACAGAGTATGCTTATAAAATCAATTTTAGATCCTCATCTAGTTTTGGTGAAATAATAGCTATATTAAAAGCACTACAAATTGCCAAAGAGGAAAACTATTCCAGAATAACAATTTTTACGGACAGTCTAGTAGCCTGCACACTTCTAACAAAAGACAAAACTCAAAACCATTACATATACGAAATTCACAAACTCACTAACGAGTCTGAATTTTACAATGTTACTGTGATATGGACCCCTAGTCATAAAGGTATTGTTGGAAACGAAAAGGCTGACGAACTAGCCAAAACTGTCATAACTGGTAATAACTGTATTGAAATAAGACTCACGATTGTGGAAGCTCTAAGAAGCATCCGAAATCGCATTCAAAACAACTGGTATGAAGAGTTTCTAAGCTTTTCTGCCAGCAAACCAAATTTATTCGCACACATTTTTCCTCAAAAAACAAACAAAACATGGTTTAAAAAATATAAGACTAATCCGAGAGATATTAAAATTCTAAATAGGATCCAGTGAGTATCTTATGACTAAGAATATCTATATCGTATTAAAGCTATTAACAACAATCTGTGTACATGCGGTATGATTGATAACTATATACATCAAATTTTCCACTGCAGTGTTCATGCAAATACTAGGGAGCGCTTTGAAGTCCTCCGGGAAGACGCAAATTTTGTAGAGATCTTTCGCAATCTCGATTTTCGCAAGATCACTCAATTATCTGAATTCTTATCAAAAGTTGAAGCTAAATTTTAAACATCTTTACTCTCAGCTTAGCACAGGTGTCTTAACACCGTCCACCTCACTCTTTTTTTTCTCCTTTTGTCGTACTAAAAAAATTTGTCAAATGCCAAGTAACCCAAACTGATGGCCTGAAAATTGGAGGAATACCCTCAAAACCTGCTAAATTCGCGGGAATAATCTGGTCCTCAATACTGACATTCGTTAAAACAATTACTGAAGATTGGCACCTTACTCAAATGACAATTAGCACAGCCATCTCACCTTACATGCAAATCTGCTATCTGAATCCGCTCATCTTGATGTCTACGTTCATCCACACGGATTAACACAATATACCTTATGTAATTTTGCTGTTTGAATAACCTTATTGGATCAACCAACAAGATAAACACTCATCAAGTGCTACTGCACACTACGTTTTATCTGAGAAGGTACACCTTCGTGTAACACGACACCAACATAATAAGCAAAGGGATAACCTGGCGTTGGGAAACTGGCCATCGAACCCAAAACCCAAAAAAAAAGAAGGAGAATTGATCACATGGTTATGTTTTAAGAAAATATTTAAGTTTAAACACAAATGAATAAACATCAAGAGCATAATCATTAGTGAGCCTGAGTAATATAACACTTTAGTTTCCAACTTCTAGTTTAAATATTAGCATAAATTGAAAGGAATTAAGATTTATTAAATGCAGTATTGTGTTACATTAGAAAGCCCTCATTAATATGCATACAGCCCGCGACAAAACGATAGCACCTCAACATTTTGAACATTTTTGACTATTTATCTTTTGTTTGTTTAATGTTTATTATTTTTAAATAAAAGTATATCACCAACGCCAACAAATACCATATGAATCCAACTTTCAGACTTTGTAAAAAAAAAATGATTAAGATTCCACAAACTTTTCATCCCAATTCCAAGCATTTTAATTTTAATTTCTAGAATAATTTTTGGCATGCAGTTTTATAGCTCATAAAATTCGAGTATAATAAAGTGCAAGTTTGAAGTGGCTAAAAAATCGCGTTGATTTTTGATTATTTTTTTTGCTGACGCTATCACGCATTTTCTTCCATACAAAGTAATTTTTATACGGATAAAAGCGCATAACACCGTCAGAAAAAATAATTATCAAAAATCAATGCGATTTTTAGTAACTCCAAACTATCTTTATCTTATCTTTATTATACTAGATTTTAATAAGCTGTAAAACTGCATACCAAAAATTAGTTTAGAAATTCTAATTCAAATACTTGGAATTGGAATTGGGATGAAAAGCTTGTGGAATTTTTAATATATTTTTCCTTGCACAAAGTTTGAAATTTGGACTTATTTGGTTTTTGTTTTAACTTCAATAAAAAATTAATGAACCTTAAAAAAGCAAAAGAAAAGTAGTCAAAACTGGTAAAATTTTTGATGTGCTATCTTTTATCGCGGGCTGTAGATGTGTGGTCTAAACATGGTGGCCGTTGTTTCCAATTTGGTTTCACCAGTGGAAATATCTATATAGATCTAAAACTATGCTATTTGTTTTTAGTAGAAATTTAAAAAGCAACCAAATCCAAGTGGTAGAAGTTATAGCAACATATCTGCTTTTTCGGAAATCACAACATCTCATAAAATTTTTTTTCTAGACTTCAACAGGGATCGAAAGACCGTTGAGCTAAGCTCCGAAATCTTTTAATAACTAGTTGCTTGAACTTACCGACACTTGCACCGCTAACAATACCGGTTTGTTGCACACATTTTCTCGTGCTGCTGAAAATTTTAATGATACTTTCGAACGTGCTGATGGAAAACCTATCCACGATAGTGCTCTTAATGCCAACACTTCACATCCTGGCAATGTTTGAACGTTCTCCATTAAAAAGCATACGTCGAGTTGCGTAAGACGTAAGCAATCGATTAGAACTGGCAGTTCTTTTTGACGTGCAGAGGCATCGTACTCATACCATCGTTTTATCGCACGGAAGGCGTCTTGCTCACAACTCACATTCAAATTATCAGCCTCTATGATTGCTTGTAACTTCTCAGTACTGAAATTTAAAAACTCAGCGCTCTGACTCACCTAGAAAAATAAGAAGTTAAAATGAACGGAATATAAGACAGGCCAACCCAAAACATTTACCTCGATAAAATTCTCTATTTCATATTTTAAGAGTTTCTCATACAGTTGTATACACTGAGTTTCACGCTCTAAGTCATAAGCCCGCTTAAGTGTATACTCAGTTATATGCTCCAAAATATAATCAACGCAACTGAGAACCGCATCACATAATTGCAAAACCATTGCCGCCTTCAGCATTAAGTCCACATTTTCGATGGTTATTAGCGTTTTGCCAGTGTAGCAAAATGTCATAAGACGCTCAAAGGTGTCACTATCTATGTCGTTCAATTCGATAACAGGAGCTAGGCCATGTTCGCTTTTGAAAAGATCGTTGAAGTAAGGACTTGCTGCTGACAGTATCAAGCGATGTGCTGGAATCCTGTAAAAATGGAAATCAAATAAATATTTTTTACATGCATAAGTATGTAAGTTGAAAACTTACATAGCAATGGGATTAGACAACTTAAATGTTACATCTATATAATCCTGCTCATCGTAAAAGTCGCATATTTTGTTAACTAGTTTCTTAATGAAATCAGGCAGGTCACAGCTATTCACATCGGAGAGTAGTTGACGTGTACACTTTGTAGCCATTGCAACTCGTATTCAAAACTGCTTTTTTAGATAAAGTCGTTATGTATTTCGCCTTGTTGTTGTTGTGCTATTAATGCGCTGGTGCTATTAAAACGATGGTTAACAGTGTATTGAAGATATATGTATATGTATAAGTAATTGTAATGTTATTTATTTACACGGGTACGGTTCGGTTATACGGTGTTTACATGAGGCGATTTTACAGACTATTTTAGAGACCTTAAGTTGAATCAAAGGGGTGATTACGATAACCGGGTCGACAAATGTTGAACATGCCATCGGAAAGCTGGAGTCCTCCAGCAGCAAAAAATTAGAAGAACTTTGTATAATACTTTATATACTTATAGGTACTTAATGTTTTAATTTTTTTAATTTTTTATTTTTCTTTATTGTACAATAAAAGATTTAATCTTAATGTACTAATGTATAAACGATATCAAACAAATAAATTGAAATTTAAATTAAGGTTAAGTGAAATTATTGGATATTTTGAAATATTGATATCTCACAACTAGATAACCGATTAGAAAGCGTGTGTTGCCAAAATAAAAATAATTAATTTGTCTTTCATGCGATGGACGTATGTAATTCAAATGTTTTTTTAACTGACTTCAAAAAAAGGAGGAGATTATCAATTCGGGGTAATTTTTTCTTTGAGTGTATGTTACCGCATAACTTTGAACCTCGTCAACCGATTTCGATAAAGTGGTACCTCAGAGGTGGTCCCATACTAATTTGGTTTAGATCCGATCATTGCATCATGAAGCAATTAACGGTAATCTTAAATTTTTATAAGCGAATTGAAGTCGATTTTGTTTTTTTGCTTAACTTACTTTGTTTATATTTATAAGCCAAAAATACCAAAAAGTAACCATTTGTTTAAAAATTGCAGTATTAATGCTAAAAAATTTGCGTTCAGGCAAGTTCTGCAATTCACCGGCGAGTGAATGTCAACCCCCTTTCAATATGAACTCAATGTGATTTTGGTTGGTTATATAGGAAGTCCGAGTTATTACCTTTAATTTCGTTTGTATGTATATATATATATATATATACATTTTATTATAATCTTGTGAGTTTTAATAATTTAGTGATACAAAATGTAAATGTATTTCGTTACCTTAATATAGAGAATCCCTATCTCACATCGTCGCTGAAATGCAAAAAAGGCGTAACCAACAAAAATTTTTTATTGAACTATGTGGGGACTTATAATTCGAGGAAATGCATCATAATGAATCAAAAAGTTAATTTTGGATTTTTGTATTTCACCGACGACCCTACCCCACGGGTCTTTCTATATTAAAGTAACGATTTACAAGGAAGTGCCAACCTTACAAGAAAGAAGTTTTGCGTGAAAATACTATGATATCAACCCCTCCGAATCTTGAATATTCATATGCACAGCAAATGTTATATACATACAAGACAAGAGGAGTTCTTCGCAAATATACAGTGGAAAGCGTAGAAATTCGGTAAATTGATATTACGAAAAAAATCAATTATTTAAATAAATAATCGAGATGGATTTTATTTATATATCAAATGAAAGCTTGACTCATATACTATTTAGTCATAAAATTTTTAAATTAATTAATTTGAGAATTAAAGCAAGTAATATAAAAAATTTAAAGACAAGCTTTTATTAATAATAATAATAATAATAGATTGGCGCTTACACATATGTTAGTGTTTGGCCGAGCTTCTCCTCCGGTTTGTGGCGTGCGCCTTGATGTTGTCACACGAAGCGGAGGGACCTACAGTTTTACGCCGACTCCGAACGGCGATTGTATTTTTATGAGAAGCTGTTTTTCATGGCAGAAATACACTCGGAGGTTTGCCATTGCCTGCCGAGGGACGACCGCTGTTAAGAAAAAACCTTTTTTCTATATTTTTTGCGATGTTACTTTGAGCAGGGTTTGAACCCAGGCACTGCGGAGTGGTAGCGCGCACTGCTAACCACTACACCACAGCGGCCGCCAATTAATAATAATTATTTATTATAAATTCGATTTGAAATATGCACTTTCTTAATTAAGATGAGAGTTCTGCGCGAAAATAATGTGGATGGCGCTGCTGTAGTCGTCAAAGCTCAAAGCGCAAATTAAAAAATTTTTGAAATCAAAATTTCTCAAGAACGAATACATATTTTTGTGTTTAATATTGTGCTCCTCTTTTCATTTATTTTAGCCCCTATTTGAAGAAATGCCTAAAGGTATGCAACGATTTCCTTTTTTGAAATCAAGTACAAAACACACTCGTACGTACACGTGCTGTAGAAATTATGAAAGAAAATGTGAACTTACTTCATTTATGTGAAGTAATTTAATCGAAAAAATGTAATTTATGCTGTAATGTGGATAGTTTTATACCCAAATTTTTTAGAAAAATAATAGATGTTGCGAAGAGAGTAGATATGTTATTGATAATTTTTTACCAGATTGTACTTTGATTTTATTAATTTGTTTTTAAATTGTAACCTTTACACTAAACACTTTGAGAGAAAAGTGCAAGCGGTACGCAAGTCTGCGCCGCTTAATTTATTCCGTATCTTCTGAACCAAAGGCTAATTTCCTCCATTTTGAGTGCTTTATAGGTACTCTACATTTTTTCCAATATAAGACCTCATACTCAGTAATCGAATAGACTCGGAACTGGTTTCTAGGACGGTCCTTAATTTGAACAACCCTTTACAGTTTTTATTTTTTCCTTTTTTTATGTACAAAGTCTGAGAAAAAATTCACCTACAATATCTCCGAACGTTTACACTGCTCGCAAATACATATAAGGATTAAAATTTTAAAACTAACTAATAAAATTGAAGTAAAATATGTACAAAATTAACTATAAAATACTTTCTTCGCAAAATCTATAGAGAACCCTTCTATTTTGCAGAAAAAAATAAAAGCCGGTATAACAGTTATTCGTCGCCACACTGTAAAGTATTAGCCTGTTCCCGTACTCCATGATTTGCAGGTTTTAAAGGAAGCTGTTCCCGTACGCCACGTTCACATAAGGTTTATTAAAGGCGAAAACAGCTTTTCCTGTAAAATGTCAAATTAAAGAGAATCAAAGTTCCTATGAAATGACAACAAAAGTTGTGGGTCCGGTTTAGTAATTTGTACACCGAATCAAAAAACTTTTACACACACTTGTAGACAAAAGTAAAGGAGGGAAAGCGACGGCTTCTCATAAAGCGCGGTTCATCCTATTTCGTTTAGAGCGGGCCCCCTCCCCTCCGCCCAACCAGCAAAATCGTTGTACAAATAACTAAACATTTCCCAAAGTTTTAAAATCTAACCATGGGATTTTGAGAAACTTCGATTTCGAAAAATGCTGTTTTTAACTTTGACCTTTGATCTCTTGGGAGTTTTTTCTGCAAACAAAAAAGTATAGTTATGTTCGTCTCTATGATATCTATCGATTCCCATATATTTTTTTGATTTGCATTTGTTCCAAAAATACTATAAATAGCGAGGGATGACTTTTCCTTAAGTTTGGACTGTGCTATTTCTAATGGGTTGGGTTTTTAATTTCACACCCCATCTCCCCCGCCAACAACAGAAAACCATTGTACAAATAGGCAAAAAATTCTCGTTTACGCTCGGATATGAAGATACAATTTATTTTAGGATTTAAGTTTGTCTTACCAAAAAATCAAGCAGAATAAAATATTAAACTCCTCTAGAAAAACCCGGAAGTTTGCAAATATTTGTGGTACAGACTATGTTGGAGTTCACTTCAATACTAACAATCAATGCGATTTTCACTTGCAATAATAAGTTTAATACTTAACAAAACTAAGTTAAGAACATTGTGGTTAAGAACTAAGGATGTAGGGATAACCAAAAGCTTTACGGATCAATATGGACAAACAGAACTTCAAACACCGATTTTAATTTTTTATTTTAATATAGAGAAAACAATTTGAATTAAATTGAAGATCGATTAATCGTAGAGTTCAAAGATTACAGCGGACTACACGATCACACATGTACAACAACATGGTGTGATGTTCAATCGTGTACACGCACTATGCACGAGCAAAGTTGGCGCATTCCACAAACCGCTACCATTTCTCGATTTTTACAATTTTAATGAACGCAAATTCATAAGAAGGGACAACACGCTGAAATGTAGCCATTGAGTCTGTACCGAGTGAAATGTAGCGAGTGAGTTTGCCAGAGGAATTCGTCCCGTTTTAACATAAAGTTTCGTAAAAGTTGTTTTAGACGATATGTTTTTGTATCTGTAGATGTAACTTTTTACATATGGAAAGGCAACTTACCCTGTAAATACAAATTAAATCTGAAACTGGTAAAACATTAATTGAGAATTAAATACAAAATTTAATTAAAATTAAATTTGACTTAAATTAATCTGGTGAAACGCAGTCTAAAACAGCAAGACACTGGCTAATTTTTATATATTGATTTTTTTTATTTTTTGTTAGAAGTAGTAATTGTTTGAAATCGTCAGTGGGCTTAGATATTTCGATTTACGAAAAGTAGAAACTAAACTAAGAATATCGCATCAAAAAGGATTCTTAAGGCTATGAATTATTTTTTAGTTTTTTTAATTTTCAATTGAACCCGAAAATGCACTTATTTTGGGGCTTGTTTCTAAAATATTTTATTAACCTTTAAAACTTTAAAACTTTATAAAAGAAAATGGTTTCATTAGATCATTACTTTTTTTGGGAACCAAAGAAAAAAAAGCATTTGTACATACATATCGTCGTTTAAACAAAGAAGGTAAATCTATTTACGTAGATTTACGTTCTTTGGTTGGGAGGGACGAGGGGCGACCGCTGATAAGAAAAAACCTTTTTTCTATATTTTGTTTACGATGTTGCTTTGACCAGGGCTTGAACCCAGGAGCAGCGTAGTGGTAGCGCGCACTGCTAACCAGCGGCCGCAAATAGATGCTTAGGGCCTGTGCCAATCGGTAACTTTTTTCTCCGTGGTGAGACGGGGGGAATAATTTGATATGGTGTACAAATAAATTGAATTTTGCTGTGCCAAATGCAAAGTAAAATTTTGACAGTTGAAAAACCAAACAAACGCTCGTGCGAAAGCTCTATTTTTGGTTGTTGCTGAAATTCTTAAAATTTATATTTATTTTGTAGTTTGCAAGTAACGTACGCTTTTTTTATGCTGTTTCAGCTTTCATTTTTATGTTCACTCCTTATTACCGCCAAGCAATATTATGTGAATACATGGTTATAAGCTGACGTTCGTATTCACCACGAGAAGTGTCAAATTTTTACTCTGAGCCGTCAAAATTTTCTATTTTCTATCAATTGGCACAGGGCCTTAGTAGAAAAAAGGCGAAAAATCGTCGAGCGATAGTCGATTCTAGTCAACCCGAAGGTGCTTGAAGTCGATTCAAAAAGTCGAGTTTTTTCAGCGAAAAGTCGATTTTTACTAAAGTCAGAGTCAACTTTTCCATCTCTATTTTCGCTGCATTTCTTGATTTCAAAACTTCCAACGTTCGCGTTCTTTTTGTTGTTTGCCTGTTTGTGTTTCGGTGCAGCTGCTACATTTTTTAATGATGAAAATGTTAAAAAATCTTGTATAAAGCTGTTCAAAGTTATTTTCTTTAGTTTGCCTAAGTGATTGTTGAAAAATAAACTGTGTAATTTTTTAAAATGGCTCCACAGCGTGAACCGATTAGTGTGCGTACAACTCGATTGAACAACTTAATCCTTAACAAAACTGGTGCTACGGCTGCAGCAGGTAATGGCGCTATTCAGAGGAAGTCGATAGCAGCGGCCGGACGTCGAAGCGCATATGGCGCCGCTACGGTCAGTCCTGCTGTCATGGAGGCTGTGACTCGAGAAGGACTTCTTGATGCATTCATTTTATTATACAATGAATGCAATAAGGATTCGCTGAAAAAACGTGATCGTAATATTGCCGAATTCGTTAATAAATGTGAGTAAAATTGGGCACAAAAAGTTGTAAAATTGTAAATCCACCATATGTACACATATCTACATATGTACATCTGTAGATCGACCAGTAGTAGAGGAGACACAGCAGCTGCGTGCGAATGTGGACGATTTTTCAGTTAAGACGCTGATAGGTAAGGGGTACTTTGGCAATGTGCACTTAGTCATTGAAAGGCAAACAAATGATGTCTATGCCATGAAGAAAATTAAAAAATCCGTAATAACTACATCACAAGTGAAAGAAGAGCGCGACATAATGGCTCGTCGTTCTTCCGAGTGGATAACAAATCTCCAATACGCGTTTCAGGTTAGTGTCAGACAGCTTTCAAAAAATATTTAGTTTTCCTACTACATCACATACATATTTATCGACATATATTTTTGTTAAGGACAACGACAATTTGTATTTGATAATGGAATTTCTTCCTGGCGGGGATCTACTAAGTCTTATGTCTAGAAATGGGCCCTTTGAAGAGGAACTTGCACGATTTTATTTAGCTGAATTAACAATGGCTATTCATTCCCTACATGAAATGGGTTATGTGCATCGTGATATCAAACCAGAAAATATATTGATTGATCGCTTTGGTCACATAAAACTGGCAGATTTTGGCAATGCAGCGGCATTGGATCGGGATGGTCATGTCTTTAGTTTATCACCGGTTGGAACGCCTGACTACATAGCTCCCGAATTATTGCAAACAATTTCTACATATAAATTAACGAAGTCAATGCATGATGTAAGTTAAAAAAAAAAAAATTAATATGCATATGTACATACATATATGCATGATATTCATACTATGTATACAAAGACATTTTTATATGAAGTATTTATGAAAATTTTAGTTGAAATGCTAAATACATATGTGTGTTATACATTTCTTAATTCCTTAAGGTCAGCTGTGACTTTTGGTCGTTGGGAATCATTGGTTATGAACTCATTTGCGAGGTAACACCTTTTCATGAGGATAACGTTCATGAGACTTATTCAAAGATTTTAAGTCATTGTGAAGATAGTCACTTAAAGGAGATTGTAACTTTTCCGGAAGATCTGAAAGTATCTGAAAACTACAAAAATCTTATTGGTTCCCTGGTCACTAACCCAACCAACCGTCTGTCGTTTGAAAAAATATGTCAACATCCTTTTTTCGACTGCATCAAATGGGAAACAGTGCGTTCACAAATGCCACCCATAATTCCAACTGTTAATAGTGACGATGACACTTCAAATTTTGAAGATGTAATCCGCAATAAGAGACGCACTAACACATTCGTAAAAAAGTCACTCAGCACGAATATGCAATCAAATGAATTTAGCGGCAAGGATCTTCCCTTCATAGGTTATAGTTTCGTGCATATGGCAAAGCAAAGTGCCGATGCAGAAGGTGTTGCCGATGACACCCGTTTCAGTCGTTTGAACACAAAAATAAAAGATTTGCAAGCAAATCTCAAGGAGCGTCTTGAAGAAATCAATAAACTCAAGCAACAGCTATTGCGCGCCGAGCAAACAGCTAAGAAGTCGGATACACAATCTAAAATATTGCAAGATGCAAAAGAAGAAATAAACAAAATGAAGAATATAATCAAGGAGAAAACAATGGAATTGGCAGCTTGCAAAACTCAAATAAAAACTCTACAGAGTTCCGTTAAAGTAGAAGAAGAAATGTGGGAGAAAAAGGAAGCAACTATAACCGAGCTTTTACGTGTAAACCGCCAAAAGTATGAAGAAGCTAAGATTGCATCCGACCAGCGTTATGAGAAATTGATTGCAGAGAAAAAACACGAATTGTCAAATATTGTGCGCAAGCTGGATGCGCGCGAGACTGAATTGAGTGCCAAGACAGAAGAATGTAAGCATCTGCAAGAAAAAATGGAAAACTACAAGGAAATGTTACGACAAATCAAAGATCAAGCAATTGCCGATAAACAAGGATTCGAGCAAAATAAAATGCAATTAAGTGAAACATACGAACAAAAATTAGCAGAGATGCGTTCGAAGTTGAGACATGAGAAAGATTCTCGCTCGCGCCTTACAATGGAATTGCGTGAAGTACGTAATGAGCTAGATGATTCGATAAGTTCTTCGAAGTCGACCCAAGAGGCGAAGTTGGCTACAGAAAAAAACAACGATGAAATATTGAAACGGTTGAACCGTGAGCTAGAAGCGAACAACAGATTACATGCGCAGAATTCTCAACTTGAACGAGAGTTGGGATCCGCACAAAAGACCATACACGAACAACAGATTGAGATTAATCGCCTTGACCGAGAGCT